TCCTATAAAAGATGGTAGTCAGAGGGCAGTGTTGTGGTGTAATGGGAAAAGTTGTTGCCTGCAATGCCGGCATGCCATATGAGCACCTGTTCAAGTCCTGGCTGTTCCACTTCTGATTCAGCTCCCTGCTAATGTGCCTGGGAAAGCAGTGGAAGACCGCCCAAGTTCTTGGGCCCCTGCACCCATGCAAGAGACCTGGAGAAGGCTCCTGGCTCCTGATCTGTATTGCTCCAGCTAATGTAGCCATTTGGGGAGTAAATCAGCAGATAGAACTCTCTCTCTCTCTCTCTCTCTCTCTCTCTGCCTCTTTCTCTCTCTGTAAACTCTGCCTTTCAGATAAATAAATAAGTCTTTTAAAAAAGATGGTGGGCCGGCGCCGTGGCTCAATAGGCTAATCCTCCACCTAGCGGCGCCGGTACACCGGGTTCTAGTCCTGGTCGGGGCGCCGGATTCTTTCCCAGTTGCCCCTCTTCCAGGCCAGCTCTCTGCTGTGGCCAGGGAGTGCAGTGGAGGATGGCCCAAGTACTTGGGCCCTGCACCCCATGGGAGACCAGGAGAAGTACCTGGCTCCTGCCATTGGATCAGCACGGTGCGCTGGTCGCAGTGCGCCAGCCTGACCAGCGCGCCAGCCGTGGCGGCCATTGGAGGGTGAACCAACGGCAAAAGGAAGACCTTTCTCTCTGTCTCTCTCTCACTATCCACTCTGTCTGTCAAAAAAAAAAAAAAGATGGTGGAGAGATAGAATCAAGAAAATATGAATTGGGGACTGGCAACTAAAGCTTCATGGAAAAATTTCTAACAAAAGACAGATCTTCGAATCTTTATACACACTGTTCAATATCATATTGTTACTGTTTTTATTCAGTGCACAGTGGTCTCACTTTCCAGTGTCAGTTGCCTGCAGTCTGAAAACATTAAAAGGAAAATTTTTGAGGTAAACAAGTTGTAAGTTTTAAATTACATGCCATTCTGGCATGATAAAATCCCATGCCACCCCACCCAGGAAGTGAAGCATCTTTTATCCTGCATATTCGTTTTGTACATGCTACCCACTAGTTAGTCAGTCAGTAGCCCTCCAGGTTATCAGATCGACAATATGGCAGTGCTTGCTTTCAAGTAAACAAAATGCCAGAGTAGTATGCTGGCAATGTGGATATGCCAAAATGAAGCTGGAAAGTGCTTCCTTTAAGTGAAAAGATCTGAGTTCTCAATTTAAGTAAACTTAAGGTTACTCAACTTAGTAAAAACAAACTTCAAGGGGCTGGCACTGTGGCACAGTGAGTTAAAGCCCCAGCCTACTAGGAGCCAGCTTAGTGGGTAAAGCCACCTCCTGTAGTGACTGCTTCCCATATGGCCGCTGGATCCACTTCCATTCCAGTTCTCTGCTATGGCCTGGGAAACCAGCAGAATATGGTCCAAGTGCTCGGGCCCCTGCACACACGTGGGAGACCTGCAAGAAGCTCCCAGCTCCTGGCTTCAGATCAGCTCAGCTCCAGCCGTTGCAGCCATTTGGGGAGCAAACCAGCCAATGGAAGACCTCTCTTTATCTCTCTGTAACTCTGTCTTTCAAATAAATAAAATAAATCTTTAAAAAGACTTCTATCCATAAAATTATGAAGGAAAAAGAAATTGCTGTTAATTTTGCTGTTGCAAATCAGACTGCAAAATTAATAGCCATATCAGGTAATAAGTACAGGAAAATACAGAGTATATGAGTATATGAGTATATAATGTTTAGTACTATGCATAGTTTCAAGGCATCCACTGGGGATCTTGGATTGCATCCCTGTTAGATAAAAGGCTGGCTCCTACAATATTATACTGCTCAATGTAACATTAAACACTAGTGGTGTATATATTATTATTACTGATTTATTGCTTGAACCATGAGATCTGGTTTTATAGACTACATATAATTGAGTAGAAAAACATACCACAATCTATGTTTCTTGGTTGTCCACAATTACAAGAAGCTCGCTTTCTGAAATACAGTTTGAAGATAGGAAATAATCCCCAAGGGTAATCTTAATCAAATTTTATTTAAATGTCAGGATTTAAAAGAACTTATTCCGGCCGGCGCCGCGGCTCACTAGGCTAATCCTCTGCCTGCGGTGCCAGCACCCCAGGTTCTAGTCCCAATTGGGGTGCCGGATTCTGTCCGGGTTGCTCCTCTTCCAGTCCAGCTCTCTGCTGTGGCCCGGGAAGGCAGTGGAGGATGGCCCAAGTGCTTGGGTCCCTGCACCTGCATGGGAGACCAGGAGGAAGCACCTGGCTCCTGGCTTCGGATCGGCACAAGGCCGGCCGTGGTGGGGTGGGCATTTGGGAGTGAACCAACGGAAGGAAGACCTTTCTCTCTGTCTCTCTCTCACTGTCTAACCCTGCCTGTCCAAAAAAAAAAAAAAAAAAAAAAAGAGAAAGAAAGAAAAAAAAAGAGCTTATTTAAAAAGAAGATGGAAAATATCAGTAAAGTTCATGTTCATAGATTAAAAAAAAAATAAAAGACTTGTTATTCACTCAGTTGTCTTCAAACCGCAGTTTCCAGTTGTCTTCTGTTTTCTTCCTCTTTGGGATCTCACAGAGAGTGAATCTACAGCAAAGTTAGGTCTCATTCATTGTGCATTCGTGTTGGAAAGACTAGTAGTGTTCATAAACCTAATATCCTTTGTTTACCAACTGAGAAACTGAGGCCCAGTAAAAAGAGAAAGGACCTTACTTACTCCAGCAAGGGAACAGTGGAGGTGAAATAAGAATTCAGATTTTTTGCATGCTCTCTCAGTGTTACCACTGGGGCAAGGAGAAAGTGTAATCAATATAGTCACTGAGACTACATGAGGATGATTAGCATATTAGAAGCGGATGATGTTACACTGGTGAGTAAAGCTTGGGAACTCCTGAGACTCTCTGGTGGAGCCTTTCAGATGCCACTGTGAGGGAGGGACTCAAGGGGTAAGCATTCTCTTTCCTCTATTAAGGTGGCAGCTGTGGCAATCACAGAAAGTCCTTGGGCCTCAGAGTCACACAGACTTGGGCTGCAATTTCCGTGCATCACTTATTCCTGTAAAACCATAGAAAAATCATTAAGCCTGTCTAACTGCAGTTTCTTCTCTTTTAAAATTAAGATTGGACAGAGCACCTACCACCTATGGACATCATGAGAATAGAATAGGACAAAGAATGGAAATAGAAAAGCGTGGGAGAGGTCATCGCAAAATATTAACTTCTCATTTACTTTGTCTTAACTGTACTATTCCTTAGAAATATTGTTAAGAATGAAATATTTTGGCTGGCGCCGCGGCTCACTAGGCTAATCCTCTGCCTGCGGCGCCGGCACACTGGGTTCTAGTCCCGGTCGGGGCGCCGGATTCTATCCCGGTTGCCCCTCTTCCAGGCCAGCTCTCTGCTGTGGCCAGGGAGTGCAGTGGAGGATGGCCCAAGTGCTTGGGCCCTGCACCCCATGGGAGACCAGGAGAAGCACCTGGCTCCTGGCTTCAGATCAGCGCCGTGTGCCGGCTACAGCGCGCCGGCTGCAGCGGCCATTGGAGGGTGAACCAACGGCAAAGGAAGACCTTTGTCTCTCTCTCTCACTGTCCACTCTTCCTGTCACATGAAGAAGTACAACTCCAGAAGAAATATTTTGCCACTAGAAACTAAAGAAAAGGCTTTCTGGATGACAGCCACATGATTGCACAGCTACCCTCAATAGAGATCCATTTTGTCAGGCAGCAGCTGAACTCCCAGTACTCATGTGCACAACTTCTGAGACCTTAAAAGGATAATTGATAGGTACATAGAAATTTGCCACTCACACTATGAACATAAAGTGAAGTAATGTCATACATATCAACCCAGAAATATGCAAGTGTTCCTAGTCCCTAATAAAAATATTAACAATCACCTAAGAATGCCCTATTTGATAGTTAGATGACTTGTCTGCTGTTTTGATCCATCTTTTCATAAAGATCTGGTTTCTCCACATCCTTCTAGCATACAGAGTGGGAATTTACTGACAGAGACAGGCACAGGCACACACTGACTCCAAAGTAGATAGGAGCAGGGCCGGTGCTGCGGTGTAGTGGGTAAAGCCACCGCCTGAAGCACCAGCATCCCACATGGGTGCCGGTTCGAGCCCCGGCTGCTCCACTTCCGATCCAGCTTTCTGGTGTGGCCTGGGAAAGCAGTAGAAGATGGCCCAAGTCCTGGGGCCCCTGCACCCGCGTGGGAGACCTGGAAGAAGCTCCTGGCTCCTGGCTTTGGATCTGCCCAGCTCCAGCTATTGCAGACATTGCGGAGTGAACCCACAGATGGAAGACCTCTCTCTCTCCCTCTCTCTGCCTTTCAAACAATAAAAAAAAAATCCTTTAAAAAACAAAATAGGAGCTATTCACATATTAGTCCTTCCTCTGGCATCAGTATCATACACATATTAGAGGATTCAACCTCTCCTACTGTACTAGTGTTTATAATTATGAGTGAAAATGGAAAAGCCTGGTTGGACTTTATAAAAGGCCATTTTTCATACAGAGGCAGTACAAACACACCATAAGCTCTCGCCTCTTACTTGTGGGTGATTCTCAATCCTTTTTCCCCATTCTGTTTTAGCTGCCTCAACATGTCCATTTGTAGCTGCTCTGGCACTTCCTCTTCCCAATATCACTTTTCCTACACCCACCACTGAGGCTGTAGTAGTTTCTGTCTTTCCTCTTTTGGTCTGAGTGATACTTCTTAAATCTTCCTCCTCTATGTTCTTTCTAGATGCTTCTTCTATTTCCTCCATGCTATGTCAAGAGCCCAAAGAGAAGATAACTGAATAGGTCTCAGGTTCTGTTCCTTTGACACTGAATTGAGTGGCATGTGTGTATGCATGTGTGTGTGCGAGAGAGAGAGAGAGAGAGAGAGAGAGAGAGAGAGGGATTTAGATTGTGTATGGAATTAGCCCTGACAACACAAGTGTTTGGAAAATAATTAAATTGGTAAACCAACAACAGAGATCGGTGACCAAAGAATTTTTATAAAGGTTTTATTGAGTTATATTTTGTATATTGTAAAATTCAACCATTTCAAATGTACAAGCAAAAGATTTTACTAACTTTACTGAGTGGTGCAACCATCATTAGCAATTTTAAAACATTTTCATTATATAAATAAGATCCATCATTCCTGTTAACATTTCATCATCTTTTCGTATTCCCAATTCCAGGACACCACTAAACTACCTTCTGGTTCTATTAGTTTGTCTTTTACAGATATTTTATATAAATGGAATCATACAATATGTAGTCTTTTATATCTGCCTTCTTTTATACCCAGCATATGCTGAGGTTCATCTACAATGCACCATGTGTCAGAAATTCAATTCTTTATTTTTGTCTAACAGTATTCCTTTTTGTGTATATACTATAATTTATTTATCCATTCATCAGTTAATGGATACTTGGGTTGTTTCCAGTTTGTACCATTTTAAATAATGTTTCTATGAATATTTCTTTGAAAATATTGTGCTGACAGATTTTTCAAAAAATTATTTTTAGTATATAATTATGAGTAGAATTACTGGATCATATGATTACTTCAAATTTTAGAGGAAGCACCAGATTGTTTTCAAAAGTGGCTATACCACTTTACAATCCCACCAACAATTTATGAGGGTTTCTCATTTCCCCAATCCTTGCCAACATATGTTGCTGTCAGGCTCACAGAATACTAAAAATGGGAAAAGCTTGTTTTCCCTACTGCTTAAATAAAATTAAAGAGAAGAACAATATTCAAAGTTAAATGATGTCTCTTTAGGTGGTCCCTTGAATCCAATGAGATTGTAAACATAATTATAAGCCCTGCAATGGCAAGAAAGTACTCTTAAGATTTAATCACCCAGATGTTCTAGCTAGAAAATGCTTGCATTTAAAAAAATATTCAGAACAAAATGAAAATACACATACATACACAAATTCTTAGAGATTTTACAGACCTCAGAAAAATGTATTCTGTCCTCTCAGAGCTATGGGAGCCTTGACAAGGATCTGTAGCCCAAATGAGAATATAAACGTCATAAAATTTTTTTAAAAACTAGGAGAGCAAGAGCTATAACCAAGGTCTCCTGGGTGATAAGACAGTGAACCTCAGCACATACATCCAGTGATCTGATCTGTGCTCAATGATCAAAGACACATCAGCCAAAGGAAGAACCCTGGTTCTCTGAAAACAGAGGAATAAACAAGATATTTGAGTGTAATTCTGTTTATTGACTAATATGAAATGTTTGCAGAGCATCATAGACTGAACACAACCCTGCCAGCATCCACACATGCATACGGTTCAAGATTTAACAAAATCTCTATAAATAACTCATTTATGAGGAAAAAGGTAATTAAATGTAAAACATCGTAAAACATCAATGGCCTTGATAGTGAGCAGAAGAGGGGATAGATGGGAGACAGGAGAGATGAATATCTCAATGTGGCAGGGCTGTGTGTTGTATGAAGGGGAAGGCAGGGGTGCTTTAGTATCAACACCCTTACCTAGAATGGATCTGAGAACCTTGAAGGGGAAAGTTGCTCTCCTAGACTTCTGTCAAGAACCAAGTCAAGGTGTGTGGACGGGAAAATAATGGATCATAAAATTCAATTCATCTTCAGCAAACACACCCTTTCCCTGACAAACAAAACAACTTTCTTTTGCTAATTCAAATATGGACAAGTCAACTATTTTCTAGGCTCAAAGATATATGGAAAACGTTTCTATCAAATGTATTTTTATGCTTCAACTGACCAAAAACCTCCAAGGGAAAAAAAAAAAAAACACAAAAAGTACAGTGCTCAAACAAAGATGTCCCTGCTTTAAAAGCAATAAAAAAGAGATCTTTACAAGGACTGTCCTGGAGAAAACATTCAAATATGACATTGGCCATGGCCAAACAGCAATTATTAAAAAGAAAAGCATCCTTCACTTCACCTTTATCCAAGATACCTTAAAAAACAAAGCAAAGAAAAACAAAACTTATTTGCCCTATTTAAATGGCTTTGAACTTTAGAAAATGGGAACCAAGATGATTCTTGAGTACAACTTGGGATAATCACACAATGTTCATGCTATAAACAAGGTGCAGTGAAGGGGGCTGGATGTAATGTTATCATGTTATTATTATTGTGTTACAATCACTATCTTTCCCACAGAGCAGCAGCATGATATGTGACGTGGGTTTGAACCACAGCCAGGCACATGGTGACCTTTAAGTCCCTCGGCTTGCTCCAGCTCAATCATCCATCCTCTGTTTGGGTACTAGTTCTTCCGCTACCAGAAGGTGTAGACATGATTAATTAAAGTGAGTGGGATAAGAATAAACTGTCCCAAAGGGAAAAGAACAGAGAACCTCAAGGCCAAGGCCTATACCTTGGCTCACACATATTTGCTAATACCTGTGTGAGACCAGGCTGGTTGATGCAGGCTTGTAATTCAATTGCTTCTAATCCCTAGTCCAGTACAATGGGATCACTTTGCTTTTTCCCAGGTGCTTGAAGCACCCTGATCAATGGGTTGCCCCAGTGGCCCTTTATGTGCATTTGTAGATAGATTAGTGCCTAAGTTGCCATTAATAAAATTCTATAAGCCAAAGTCTTTCTGTAAAGAACCCTCCTTTTATAGTAGTAAGACCTGATGATGAAGGATATATTCTGCCTAAGGTACTTAACTAAACACTAGTTAGACTAGTCCTGTGAGAGAGGACTTGCTGTACAAACTTCAGAAACATCCTCAAATAATAAAGAATAATGCAGTCTCAAAGGAGGTTGGGACTTTGCTGGTCTTCAGTTATATAGCTGGGATCAAAAAAAAAGGCAAAAAGACACTTCAGAAAGACTCAAAGGAGAAAAGGTACTGGGAGAGCTGGGATCAATTGACATGTCAATAAAAGGAGCAGTGGGGCCCTTCCTTCTCCTCACTTAGCTACTCCTAAATGGATTGTGGGAGAGAGAGGGCTGTTTTGGGAGGACTCTGTGAGGTAGCTTGGGGAACCCAAGCCTCCAAGGGAAGGTCATCTTGGCTCAGAAATGTTCTGCAAGGTTCCAAGAAGGCAAACTCCAGGTGCTACCTGCTGGAAGGGTAGAGTTACAGCACATCAAATATAGGGTGAGCCCAAGAGATTCAGAGAGAAATTGCTTGCCCTGCAGTATGCTGCAACACAATACCATTGCTTTTTATACATGTCCAAGACCCTCTGACTGAGCAAGGGAGTGTGGAGCACCTAGGGAAACCTGAAAACCTTATAGACCATAGAAGGCAGGAATTATAGGGAGAGAAAAGCAAAACACCCCTCCATCCTGCCCCAGTTACATTAAGATACAAATGCAATCATGGCAACATTTCAAAAGAACACTACACTGATGCCTCAACTAGACTATGAGGCTAGCTGCTTTTAGCTGGTGGTGGGGAAGGGCTGATTCAATCTCCTAAATTTTTCCCTATGCTCATTTTAAGGGTCATCGAGGCAGTGTCTAGTGAAGACAAATGACTGAAGAAAGCCATTAACACTCCCGCCTGTCCCTATACCATAGGGACAGTTTCTGCTCTATGTCTGCTTCCTTGGTCTCTACTGTAAGTCATGGGATCCACACCTGAGTCTAGGGGTGGATATGTGAGATAAGGAAATTTTCCTTAAATGTTAATTGCTCTGGGCAAGATAGGTACTACTGTTTGGCCTCTGTTTCCTCATCTTTAAAATAGGCATAATGTATGAATGAACCTTTTAAACTGTAATGCACTGAAGTGATATTGACAGTTTTGCTCGAATATCTACAATGTACCTATAGATTTTAAAGATGGGAGAATAGGTCTCTCTCACCTTTGAATTCAAGTTAGAGACTCAAGTTATCCATATGAAAAGCAGAGGTTCCTAAATTGCACAAAGGAGGAATGTGGGGGGACAAGTAGGATGGATGCTCTTACTAATAACCAGCCTTTATTGCCTATTTCACAAGCTAGGTGCAAAAGAAGATATACAGGAAGAAAAGGAAAAAGTCTGTCTGGCCTTGTAACCCCTCTCATTTTCTGACCTCTAGTGAAACAATGTTGAATGGAAAATCTCTTAGCTTCCCAATAGTGTTAGACCTGGCAGAGAATGTGCCAGATTGGTAGTCTGGGGGAGGAGACCTGGGCAGTAAAGAGAGAGGATAGATGTTGTATGATGGGCAAGGACATTACCTCATTGAGTGGCAAGAATAAGGGTCTTATTTTTCTTTCCAACCTTTTTCCTTCAAAAGTGAATTGTTTTCTGGAGCAGATGTGCTAGGAAAAATCAACCTTCTACCCCACAACACTGTCTTCCAGAACATTCCATGATATTCAAGAGTCTGTGAAGGCATCCTAGCCTTGCTGTTCACTACTATATCATTAACTTAAGACCAATCCTCACTTTCCATCTGTGGGACTGTTTTCTCACCTGCAAATTGGGGATGACAATCACTATGTTGCCCACTTCAGGGTCTATGTAAAAATCCAAGGAGATGATGGTTGTGAAAGCACATTGCAAAATGTAAAGTGTGGTGTATATGTGTGCATGTGTGTGCATACACATACCATAAATTCCAGCATTCTTAATCCAGGAAAACTAGACCTTACTTACATTCTTGATATTTACAAACTGAGCCATAACCAACATCCAGAATTAGATAAAGTGCTCCCAAAGAAGCTGGTTGCTCTATTTTTCTGGACGTTGTTTTTTTCTTCTAATTTGACCCATTATGAGGGAATGCACATCAGCCCAAGTGGCCCATTATGGACTGACGGGGAGACTTAAAAAAACAACCCATGAAGCTCATACCTGAGCCCTGAAGGTTTCATCTGTCATGCTCTGGAGAAGCACAGAGAGAGCAGTTCCACTTCATGCTGAGAAGCATGTAAAATTAGTGGCAAGAGCTCAGGAGAAATGGATTGGTTTTACTTTAAACCAAGAAAGCACCAAATGGTCCCTGAGCTGCTGTAGGGCCAGGCCCCAGTGAGAACTCTAGTTTCTCAGTGCCTCTCGTCCCATACCTCATGATCTTCACTGTCACCCCAAAGACAAATGCTCTGAGCTCTGTTTTGGCCCTGGGGATTTACAGACTGAGTTTGGAGCTTTAAAATTCTAGGCAATAGGAAGGGACAAAAGAGGCAAGAATAGAAGAGAAATCAAAATTAAAGGAACTTTAGGAAGTACCATATTAAAGATAAAAAGACATTGATTTGAATCCCCACCAAAGAAAAATAGAGACCTATTTGTGGGGAGTAAGACATTGGCAATCGCAGTGGCTCCAGAGCTATCACAGCCATGAAAGTCTAGGACATGAGTTGGGGAATCATGGCACCAGGCCTACCCCAAGAGATGCTTGCGTGTGTGTGTGTGTGTGTGTGTGTGTGTTGAGGAAAGAGGCAGTGCAGAGGAGCTAAAAGGGGAAGAGTATAATTTTTTCCCTGAAGTGCTAGACAGATGTTATCAATAGAGTTCTGAGAGGCTTCCCTTCAGGCCCACCTGACAAAAATGCAGGCCAGAAGATCTTACCCCATTCACTGTTGTTCCTTCCCCTTTTCTTATAATCAAGTCGAGGTAGGAACATGTCTGGCAGTCCCATGTTTGGTGACTCTGGCTCTCCAGGCTAATGCAGGGAAGCAAGAAATGCTGCAGATCAGTCCTGGGGAAATGGCGGAGAATGAATCCTTTGGTGGGATGGGATATGATGTATCCCATTCATAGTGTACTGTCTGTTGCACACACCAAATCCCAGGTCCCTGCTGTTCTTGTGCTATAGGAACAAGGCAGGAGAGTCCAGAGAGAATGATGGGACAAGGCTTCCAGGAGCCCAAGAGACCTAGAGAGGGAGCAGAGCAAGTTAGAAACATGAAGGCAATCTCACCAGCTCCCTCCTCTCCTAATTTGATTCGACTCCCCCCCTCTCCCCACCCCCACTCCACACCGAATACACGGGTTAGGCCAATAGTTTAGGATGCCAATATCAGAATTTGGCCACCTAGCTAGCTAGGGAGATGACAATTTCACCCTATTCTAAACTACTGTGAACATTCTTCATGAAATTGGATCTAGTTCTAAGCCCTCCATACTTCAGAGGAATCTAAAGCAATATTTTCTAGAGGGGAGATGCTGTTTTCAGGCCTGTTCAGGGATATCGCAAGGCAGAGGAAGCAGATGAGGTCTGTGTGGTCCAAGGAACAAATCCAGGACTCACAGATGGGTACTGTTGACAATCAAAGTTTTTTCCTTTATGTTGAGCTCAAATTTACCAATCATATACTATATAGTAGGTAATAGTGAGCTCTCTACCACTGCAAGTATGTGAGTAAGGACTATACAGACTATGGTGAGGAAACAGGTTGAATATCCCAAATCTAAGAATCTAAAATGCTCCAAAAATCTGAAAATCTTTAGCACTGACATGATGCCACAGATGGAAAACTCCACACTTGACCTCATGTGATGGGTTGCAATCAATATAAAGGTGCATTAAAATATTGTATGAAATTACCTTCAGGCTATGTGTATAAGGAATACATTAATTTTGCATTTAGGTTTTGGTCTTATCCCAAGACATTTCTCTATGTTTATTAAAATATTCCAAAATCTGAAAATTGAAACACTTCTGGTCCCAAGCATTTCAGATAAGGGATACTCAGCCTGTATTATAAAAGGGATCTATCCATGAATTAAAGGTCTTGCAGGAGGAATTAGATCAGATGACCTGGAAGGTATTTAGACTAGCTGGTTTGACATTAGTCATATTTTCTTAGGTAGGATGTAGAAAGGGGAAAACTACTGGGGTACATGGCAATATCCTAATGAAAAATTATATGGAAATAGGTGGCGAAAAGTAGTTGGTTAGTTGAAAATTAGGACTCCTCCCACTCTGCTTCATACTGCTACACACTACTGAAGTCTTGAGAGAGTAGTGTTGGCTATGGAATAATTACAATGGTGGCATTGGATGAGCTCTAGAATGAAAACTCCAGGTCTAGGCTTTAGCCCAGTTCTGCCACTGATTTTCTTTATGACTTTGAGCAAATCTCTTTTCCTCTCTGCTTTTCAGTTTCTGAAACTGTGAAATGAGGCTAATGTACCTGCTTAGCATAAAGGGCTGTTATGAAGGTCATATGAATGTAGTAGATGTAGAAAGGATATATAAAATGTGACTGGAGGCGGGGGGGCGGGGCAGAAAATCTAGCGTGGTTTAAAGACTTCTAATACATCAGACACTGCAAAAGGTACCTGCACAAATGTTTTCCATTCAATCTTCCCAAGACCTTATGAGGAGGGTAGTACTGTTTATTTTTTACAAGTGAAGGCTCTGAGGCTCAGAGAGGTAAAGAGATTTACACAAGGTTCAATAGCTATTAGGTAGTGGAGGTTGATTTGATATATGGGGTTGTTAAATGACAAGGTTTTCTATTTTTCCTACTGTGCTACGCTGCTTGTACACATGAGAGGATATAAACTGAATCTTTCTATTATACCCTGAATGAGTTTGCAAAAGGCCAGGATGGAGAGACTTATGTCATGGCAGCTTGGTCAGTTCCCTGGCAATTGTTCAGCCCCTAAGTGTGATGTCTGACTCGATCAAAAGATTAGCATTACCACTGTTGCCCCTCTACCCACCACCAGTGTTCTTAGCCTGCTGTTTTTCCTCCATCCCCAGCCATACTGCACAATAGCACTTCAGAGGGAAATTCCTGGAGGGCCATTCCCTAATTTCTGGTCGTTCTGCCCCACCTCTCCAGCTCACCTCAGTAGAGTTAAGGGCTGGCAACTTCAAAGGGCACATTGGGCTCCAGCCTGTCTCCAGAGCTTTCGTCTGCGTTCCCCCCCAACGTCTCAGCTCCAGTATAGGAGGCAGAGCTGGAAAACTTTTGCAGGTCCAACTCTGTGCATTCGATGGGGGTGTGGACCCAGTGGGAGTGGCTCTCTGAGGCGCAAGAGGCCATGGTAAAGGACTCCTGTGTGGGGAAGCCACGAGTCGAGCTGCAGTCGTCATCCAGGATGGGGTTAAGTGGCTGGATCTCAAAGATGCTTTCACTCACTGGGGACTCTGTGCTGGTCTCCTGGCCAGGTGGCTTGGGGAAGAGAGATTCCTCCTCTGCGGCCTCGTCAGCCTCAAACTGCACCGAACCTCCTGCAACTCGAAGCAGAAAGCCACTGGGTCACCCAAAGGCAGGGGCTTTTCTCAGCAGGACACCTGGTTTTCAAGCTACTGCTCCCCTTCCCCTTTGTAGGGACCAAAGTACCTAGCACCAGGCTGAGATAACATGTTTGAGAAAACATACTTACATTACCGCATCAGATTGAGGCTACCTAGTTCTGGCCCAAGAAGAGTTAATTTTTCCAGAGAAAGAGAAATTCTTTGTGGGAGATAGGATTTTGATACTCCCACTGCTACCGTGATCTTCATTCCCTGATGTCATGTCTGAGTATGTTACATTAAATGGCGAAAAGGACGCTGCAGATGGAATAAGGTGAAGGACCCTAAAATAGCAAAATTATTATATTGGTTTATCCAGATGAGCCCAATGTGATCACACATCCTTGAAAGTGGAAAAGGGGGATGGGTGTTGTGGCACAGCAGGTTAAGCTGCTACTTGTCAAGGCAGCATCCCATATCAGAGTACCAGGTTAGGTCCTGACATCTCTGCTTCCATTCTAGCTTCCTGCTAATGCACCTAAGAAGGCCATGGAAGATAGGCCAACTTCTTGGGCCCCGGGAACCCATATGTGAGATGCAGATGGAGTTCCTGGCTCCTGGCTTCAACCTGGCCCAGTCACGGGTATTGTGGGTTGTGGTCATTTGGGGGGTGAGCCAGTAGATGGAAGATCTCTCTCTCTCTCTTTCTCTCTCTCTCTCTCTCTCAATTTTGTGTCTGTCACTCTCTCTGTGTCACTCTTCCTTTCAAGGAGATGAAAATAAATAAACATGTTTTAAAAGTGGAAAATGAGGACAAATGAGACAAAGAGAAAGTGGCAGAGATGTGGCATGAGAAGGATTCAACCTGCCATAGATACTTTTGAAAATAGCAAGAGTCCATGAGCCAAAGCATGTTGGTGCTTCTAGAAGCTGGGAATGGCTTTCAAGAAACCGAGACTGCAGTTCTACAACCCAATGGGACTGAATTCTGCCATCTGCCTGAATGATCATGTAAAGAGAGTATCCCCTAGGGCCTCCCAAGAGGAATGCAGTTCTACCAACATCTTTATTTCAGCCTTGTGAGACTCTAAACAGACACCCAGCTGAGCCTGCTGAACTTCTGAACTATGGAACTTGTAAGATAAGCTATTAAATGTATAACAATTTGTTACAGCAATGACAGAAAAATAATACACCATTAATGCATGAGTCTGATTCAACAGCAGGTTACAGACTGAGAGCCTATTGGGTGGGTGTTTGTTTGACCTCCCCCGTTGTTATTGTAGCTCTGTTGTTTAATCAGACTCTTTGCCAGTGTTTCACACTATTTTACATAACAATCCAGATTTCTGGATTCTCTTGAAAAATTCCCACATGGTAACAAAGAGCTGGAGATAAGTAGTGGGTTTTTGTTTAGTCAAGGTATATGCCCTCTAGTTTGCCACAGACCCTACTTCTCTCTCTTGCACTTTTCACTGGATCTAACTTGCATATTAATCTCACCTACACAGCACCTTCCCCAAGTGAGGACATGCCTAGCCCTCCTTCACTCTATGGAGACTGTGAGGAAGTTGGCAGTCCTCATATTCCCACAGATAGGTACTACATTATTATCTTAATGACACAAGGTGGATTACTCATACCTACTTTGCTGAGGGAAGAGGAAGAAGACAGGTATCTCCCAGATATTCTCTCAAATTCATCTTGCTGGGCCCTAGGTCTCAGATGCTTCATTGTCTGTGTTGCATATCCATGCCTACATACTGGGCAATACTTCTTATTTAAGTCAGACACTGGGTGGCCCACCCAGAGCTACAATGTCCCAGGAGCTACCCAAGAGTAAAGGAGAGGGAAACAGAGTTTAAGAAGTGTCGTAAGGGGACAAAATTGTTTCCTTTGTATCCTACATCCCATGATATGCTAGATTCATCTCTGCATAAGCCAGGGGCATAGCCAAATACACCAATAACTTTTTTTCAAAATCACCTGGGAGGCCCCAGGAGGCAGATCTATATAAGAGGGATCTTCCCATACCAATAGAATGAGGCTTTAAGGCTTTAAAAAGTAGTGTTGTGGGGCCAGCATTACAATGCAGCAGGTTAAGCCTCAGCTTCTAACACCAGCATCCTGTATCAGGATGCCCTTGAGTCCTGGCTACTTTACTTCCAATCCAGCTTCCTACTAAGGTGCCTGGGAAGGCAGCAGATGCTGGCCCTAGTAGTTGGGTCCCTGCAACCCACACAGGGGATTCAGATGGAGTTCTTGGCTCTGGCTTTGGCCTGGCCCAAACCTAGCTGTTGCAGCCATTTGGTGAGTTAATCAGCAGATGGAAGACATCTCTATATCTCCTTCTCTGTCACTCTGCCTTTCAAATAAATACACAAATAAATATTTTAAAAAGTAGTGTTGCTTTGAACTCAGTAGGCTGAGGAGGAATCCTGAGCAATCTTGCATCCAGAAAACTTTATCTTCTTGCTGGATTAACTGATGTCATTGCCTAGCTCTCACTGGTGCTACACTGAATCTTGGTACCCTTGGCTGGAGTTCTAACTCTACCTGGTCCTGATCAGCCACTGTCCCACCTTCTCCATCTTTTCTGTCAGTGAGCTAATCTTTCTTTCCCATATTCTTGGCTACTCGATTAAGTTGTGTTGAAAACAGATCACAATGATATTGCAATTTTAAATGTGACCATGCATGTGGAATTTCATTTGGTCACTTCCTCTGCACTGCTTTTTTCCACTGCATCAATACTGCTTGTGGAAAAAAGTCTAAGCTTGTTAACTCCTTTGGACCCGGGGCTTTGAGTTATTCCCATTTGAGAAATAACTATACGGAGATCAGTGTCCTTAGAACTCATGCATTTTTATTACAGTTATATCTCAGATATAGCCAAGACTTCTCTTATTCTTGACATATGTAGAATCTATTCCTATTGGTATGGATATGAAGGCTTTGTAAAACAGCTTAGAAACCAACTAATCCAGTTCTCTCTCTCATTTTAAAGGTTAGAGAGAAAGAGGCTCGAAGAGCTGACTTGTCTACATTCACACAGTGGTTTATAGATAGATTTTAGATCTCATGTCTCCTGATTCCTCTCCCAAGAGCTTTCCTCCATGCTGTTTCTTTACGAACCCCTGAGAACTAAAGAACCAAGTGCCCTAAACTCTCAAAGTTGGCCTCAGTCATGTTTGAAGTCCCATACTTTCTATTGCCACCCCAGATATTTCCTGAGGCACCCCACTTGGATTTTCAATATGATAGAAAAGGTCCATTAATTCTCACTCCCAGAAAATGCCTCTTTTCTGCCATTAAGAACATCGCTCCTCATTCATGTGAAATGTGAAGCAGCCACCCTTACCACGCTGGCAATGTCTGTTGAAGAATTGCTTGCAGTAGAGGAAGAAGAGCCCCAGGAAGGCCAGGGTAAACACCACTAGCAGACTGCTCACCAGTGCAACAAGTGTGGCCTCCTGAGGGGGCACTGTGGGTGCATCTGCCTTCACTAAGCTCAACTGGAAGGCACCTGTGAGAGAAAAAAGTAGAGGAGGTAGTCAGTGTGAGCAGTCAACAGCTACTGTGCTTCCGGGCCTGGATTTTCTCAGGCCGTCACCCTCCCTGTGAGGGGCCTTTCTCCATTAGGGCCCCTATGCTTGTTTCAAGTTTTTGTAGAATAGGCAAAATTATAAAGAACAAAGCAGTGGCACTTGCCTATATTGCTGGTATGGTATAAATTAGTATAGTTAATCAAATATGTACATATCCTATGGTTTTTCCATGCCATAACTAGTTATATAACCTAGAAAATGGAAATGAACTAAAATGTTTGTGAGTAGAGCTGAAGATAAATAAATCATGATATGACTCTAAGGTCTAATGTTATTATATAGCAGTCAAAGTAAAAGATCTTTATGCATCAATATAAATAATCCAGAGGGAAAAAGAAAATTGTAGAAAGCATATAGTCTGACATCATGTTCATAAACATTATAAAATATACACTAGTAACGTGGATTTCTCATGAATATCCACAAATTCCACAAAAGAATACAAGTACTAAAACCTCAGTGGGAGAGTGTGGCAGAGACCTACAGAGCTCACCAATTACCCCCACACTCCCTTTTGTTCCTCTTTACACCCTTGCAGTAAGGCCATCAGAATAGTTCTGGCCAATGGACTGTGAGCAGAAATAGCATGTATCACTTCCACACTGAGGTAGTTAACAGTCAGTATATCTCCTCCACCTCTTTCCCTTTACTGGCAACTTGAAGCCATACAGAGAAAGGTCTTCATATGGTGAAAAGCAAATTTGTATTGTATTATGTCACAAAGGCCGGGGTTTGTTACTGTAGCATAGCCTACCAAAAGTAGTGGTATCTGAGGAGATAGAGAATGGGACTCAGAAAGTATCAAGAAGAGAATTCTGGGGCTGGCGCTGTGGTGTAGTGGGTTAACTCCCTGGTCTGAAGCGCCGGCATCCCATATGGGTGCTGGTTCTAGTCCCATCTGCTCCTCTTCCTATCCAGCTCTCTGCTATGGCCTGGGAAAGCAGTAGAAGATGGCCCAAGTCCTTGGGCACCTGCATCCATATGGGAGACCTGGAAGAAACTCCTGGCTCCTGGCTTCAGATCAGCGCAGCTCTGGCCATTGTGGCCGTCTGGGGAGTGAACCAGCAGACAGAAGACCTTTCTCTCTGTCTCTCCCTCTCAATGTCTATAACTCTGCCTCTCAAATAAATAAAATCTTTACAAAAACTGAAAAAAAATGGTAAGATTTAGTAACTTCATGTTCAATAACTGAATATTTTGCATTTCTGCATTTAAAAATATTTCTATAGTTTTTAAATAACTCATAATTTTAAAAATATATCAGTAACTTTTAAAAAAATTAGATAGATACTAGAAAAAGATGGCAGGCAAATAGATAAACAGATAGTGATAAAGCCATTTACTAAGCCCTAGTTCTTCATTCAGCCTTTCATGAGTCCTAAGCCTTAGGGATTCCTATAGACTTCACATAATAATAATAATAATAATAATAATAATTGATAAGTATTCAAATGTTGTAATTTAGAAGTGTTTTTAAGCATCCTTTATTTTATTAGACCTAGACAACTATCACATAAGGTATGAAGAAAATTATTATGTCACTTTTTTTTTTTTCAGATGAGGGGAACGAGGTTTGGTGATTTTGAATGATTTGCAAAAGGTTAGTTACATGAATATTACATTGTGAAACCAGGGTTCAAATCTAACTGAGGGGAACTTCAATCCTCAACAGAGGGGAAGTCTTTACTAGACTATCTTGCTGCCACCTAGTGGGTCAGGGAGGAAGCGGGAAAAGAGAACTGGATACACACACTGAACCTCAGAGGTGGGGGTCTGCTTCGTGCAGGGGATGCACTCTTGGTCCTGCAGGCCTCCAATACGTGTCTTTCGGTAAAACCTGTGGTCAACGCAATAAGAAATGGAAGGGTGAACAAATAGCAATGCACTTGGACCAATCTTTCCTGGGATCACCAATAGGCAGCTTCTAAGAATCTCACCCTCCAGAAACCAGCACCTGTCTCTTCTGATGATCTCTTTGGCACCAGCTCTGATTCTGACTCAGAGGCCCAGATATTCCACCTCTTTCCCCATTCACCATCCCTTACAGCAAAATGGGGAGCTAGTCCCAAAAGAGAATTATTGCATTGATACTCACCACTTCATACATTTCTAGGTCAACAGTAAAATTTACCTTGAATTTTGGTCCTGTACTAATAGTGTCAGTATCACAAAACAGCTGTTAGGTACTCATCTATGGCTGACAATGAGCTAGGAACATCACAGAGGGATCTTGGGAAGATACTGTTCTCCCCCTCTAGGAGTTCAAATGAATATGATATGTACAGAGAGAATACTTCAACTAGGGTTTGAGAAGTGAGGATGAGAGACATCTCCAGAGGTTAAAAATGTCCTGGAATGGGCATTTGGTGCAGGGGTTAAGAACCACTAGGGATGATCACATCACATTTCAGAGGGCCTGGGTTTGAGTCCTCATTCTACTCAGTTTTCTGCTAATGCACATCCATCCTTGGGGGCAGCAGGTGATAGCTCAAAGAGTTGGGTCCTTTCACACACATGGCAGACCTGGATTAAGTTCTGGGCTCCTGGATTCAGCCTGGCTCAGCCCTGTCTGTGGAAGGAATTTGGGGAGTGAACCAGAGGATGAATTTATCTGTCTTTCAGTCTCCACCTCCATCTCTCTCACTCTCTCTCTCTCTCTGCATTTCAATGTAAAAATAAAGAAATAAATCAACAATAAATAGATCGAAACATCCCAGAATAGCTTGGCCCAATACTGCAGGCTCACCTGGGCAGACAGTCCCCACAGACAGCATTAGAGGTAGGCGTGCAGTTGGCTTTCTGGACACGATTGATAACAGCACAGTTGATACAACTCTGACATCTGTGGTGGCCCCAGCTGCTTTTATACCTGCGGGGAGGGCAGGCTGTGCAGTATGCATCTCCCCCCTCTCCATAACCACAGTCCTGCCAAGAGATGGGACAGTGATTAACTTTTGTCCAGGAGCTTGGAGAAAGAAGAAGGTATGGGACAAGTAAACATGATATAGAGTAGTATTTTTCAAACTGCAAGTTGCAACCCCATTACTGGGTCATAAAATCAATGTACTAGGTTATAGTCAGCATTGGAAATTGAAATAGAACAAAACAGGATAATGTTATCAAATATTAGAGTACATAGCATGTAGCATAGCTAAGTACTGGTACAGGTCAGCATAGGCTAGGTTATAGTACAGCAAAAAGAAAATCCGAATCCCGTGTCTTAAAAAGTTTATTTCTCACAAACACAATTTTCCTACTCGAGTTTTTCTGAGGGCTCGGCTTTACATTATCCTCGATGAGGTTCCCAGGGTAACAGAGACTTCATCTTTGTGCTGAAATGATTGCAGCATCAGGGAAAAGAGAACATTGTGAACTGTGCACTGGCTCTTAAAGTTTTTCCCCAGAAATGACTCATTCCACTTTGCTCATATGTCCTTTGCCACACATACCAACTAATCATTAGTAACTTCAAAGGGTACAAGATAGTACAGTTGTACCATACGCCAAAAGACAGGGAAATATCTGTCAAACAGCTATAATCACTACCCACAGCAGTATCACCTTTATAAAATTTTTACATATAAGATGTATGATCACTACAGTGTATATATCCAAAAAGTATGAAATAATTACATCAAAGAGACACCTGCTCCACCATGTATACTGAAGCACTGTTCACAATAGCCAAGAGATGGAGTCAACCAAGGTGTCCATCATAAGATAAATGGATAAGCCAAATGTGGTATGTACACACAATGGAATATTATTCAGCCATAAAAGAAGGAACTTCTACCATTTATAGCAAAATGGATGAAACTAGAAAATGTGTGACATATCCAGGCAAAGAAAGAGAAATACTGCAAACAAACAAACAAAAAAAAAAAACAAGCGAACAAATGCAACCTTAGAACTAGAGTTCTGGAACATCTAGTTACACTGCTGCTTGTGACACTGGTATCCTATATTGGAGCACAAATTAGAGTCCCCATTGCTCTGCTTCCAATCCAGCTCCCTGATAATGTGCATACAAAAGCAGCAGAAGATGGCCCGAATATTTGAGCCCTTGTCACCCATGTGGGAGACCCTGATGGATTTCCAGGCTTTTTTGGCTTTGGCCTGGACCAGGACCCACCACTTGGGACCATTTGGGAGGTGAATCAGTGGATGGAAGATCTTTCTTTCCCTTTGCTTCTCTCCCTCTTTCTGTCACTCTTCCTTTCAAATAAGCAAAACAAACTAAAATAAAAAAAAATCCCTCAATCTGAACACAGAATAGCACTTATTCGAAGCTGGGAGGGGTTGATGAGGTAGAGTGAGGCTGGATAATGGGTACCAAAACAGAACTAGATATAAGGAATAAGTTTCTAGTGGTATACGTCATAGTGGGTGACTATTGTTGACAATAACATGTATTTTAAGGACAAATAGAAAAAAGGAGCTCCAGGGTTCCACTCATAATGTGATGTCAAACAGGGAGAAATACTGTTTCCCCTAATTTAGCAGTGTATAATTTATACATATTAAAATATCACACTGTACCCATAAATATGTACAATTACTGTTAATAATTTTAAAAAATAATGCCATATACCAACTGCCATTGATCACTATACTCTGAGTGAATTATATGATATGTGAATTGTATTTCAATAAAATCATTAAAAAGTGACAGAGCATCTAAAAGCTTGGATCCCAAAATGAATGAGAATAATCCTCCCACTTCCCAACTTTGATTGGTGTTAGTCATAAACAAAACCTTAATCTATTATATCACAACATCTAAAATGTATTTGTGATAGCAGTTAGCATTACCTGAATTAATACACTAGGTAAGTTATGCCTTCACAGGGGTTAGATTAAGTGAACCTCAGCCACTGAGGTTCTCTAAATAAATATTCCTGCCATCATGCTCCTCTTCTTTGCCTCTTCTGGTCTTAATACCTCACAGCTCTACTCGCAATAATCTTTTCTACTAAGATCCTATTCTGATACATACCAGGGTTCTAAAATGGGTGCTTTCTGTTTTACTTATATTCTGGGTTTCTTGGGAAGGTAAAGGACTTCTTTCAGCCTCTGCTATGTGCAGCAGCAAAATGGTGATAATTGCCATATCTGCTTTACAGGATTAGCTGAGGATCAAAGTAATAAAAAAAAATACAGCAGAGTGATGAAAAATGCTGACCTAGGGCCAGGGAGACCTAACTTTAACTCCTACCTCTACCACTAACAAACCATGTGGCCTTGGGCAATTCACTGGACCTGAGTTTTGTCAATCAATTCAGGAATAAGACTAACTTATATGATTTTTAAGACCACAGGAAATCAAGTGAACAAAGGGAGTATGTCAAAAGAATAGGGAAAAACTGTCCTGTGTATGTTCTGTTAGATACCTGAACTGCCATATGAGAAAAAAAATTATAAAATTTGATTCATTCCTCACAAACTGCACATCAGAATAAATTCCAAATGCATCAGATATTTAAATATAAAAAATGAAACGCTATAAATACTGAGATGAAATATAAGTGGATTTCTCATTAATATGGAGGTGGAGAAATCTTTTCTAATTATAAATCAAAATCTAGAAGCAATAAAAAAGATGTAATTACATAAAAATTCAAAAAAATTTTTGCAAAGTAAAATATGAAAAACAGAAGACAAATGACAAACTGAGAATATATATATGTCATATCAAAGACTGAAGAGAATTTTTAAAAAATAAAATCAACATTTCTGATTTTAAACTATATAAAATTTATATTTATATATCTTATATAAATGATTTTAAAACATATTCTATATTTTGTAATGTCTGTCTACTCAGGTGCCCTACAAGAGTATAGAATGAACAATAAGCAACATATATTCAGAGTAGAAAAAACAATCAGAAACAAATAACAAATTTGGGAATCTAAATAGACAAATAAACAGAAAACACTGGTATATTTCCTTATCAAATTGAAAAAGCTAAAACAAAATCCTCATAAAGCCCTCATAAATTAGCAATTTAATATTACAAAAGAAGGCATAAAAGTAATACATAATGAAACATGCATTATTCATTTATGGTTACGCTTCTGGGATATGGGAATTTTATGCCCTGTTGAAAATAAATGTAATTGTAATGGATATTAGTAAAGGATTTTCAGAAATGTTATCTACTAATATATTTCAAGAATCTTAAAATTGTATCCATTATTTAGCGTGGCAATTATACTTGTAGAAAAATGTCCTGAGGAAATAGTGTTTCTTTTGCAATGATTTATTTTCAATTATATTTCTAATTCATGAGTAAACTTTTAAAATAAAGGTAACCAGAAAAAAAAAAAAAGAAAAAAAAAAAAAAACGGCTGTCTCACATGCTGTTAGCTGCTTATCCAAATATCCTCTTCTTCCATAGTAACAGAACATTGATTTCTTTTTAGGTGGCATGATGACCACCCTCAAGAATGGATTCTTGTTTGGTCTTGGGTAATCACGGCAATCCCATTTTTGTTTGCCAGATATTCTTTTGCCAGCCTCCCTTCTAGGTAAGATTGCTACATCACCCAGTTCTGTATCTTAAGACATATAGGGAAATCTGCTGAGGAGCTTCTGGGGAAACACTTCTTCCCTAGTGAAACACAAGTTATGTTGACTCTGTCTCTGCTTCCTGACTTTGCTAACAGTGTGAATACGTGATTCTTTGAGCTGTGGCAATTTTTTTTAATTTTTTTTTATTTTTTGACAGGCAGAGTGGACAGTGAAAGAGAGAGAGAGAGACAGTGAGAAAGGTCTTCCTTTTTCCATTGGTTCACCTACCAATGGCCGCTATGGACGGCGCACTGTGGCTGGCACACTGCGCCGATCTGAAGCCAGGAGCCAGGTGCTTCCTCCTGGTCTCCCATGCGGGTGCAGGGCCCAAGCACTTGGGGCATCCTCCACTGCCTTCCCAGGCCACAGCAGAGAGCTGGCCTGGAAGAGGGGCAACCGGGACAGAATCCGGCGCCCTGACTGGGACTAGAACCCGGTGTGCCGGCGCCACAGGCGGAGGATTAGCCTAGTGAACAGCGGTGCCAGCCGAGCTGTGGCAATTTTGAAGCTATAAGCATGAGGGAAAAAAACCAGGAAGGTGGCCAAGATAGATGAAAGAGTCTGGGTCCTTGATTACACTTTTGACCCGCTCAACAAACCGAAAGGTTATCTATCTCTAGACTTCAGTTATGGTTGAAGTCACTATGTAACTTGCAACTTAACATAGCTTAATTGGTTCAGAGGCAAAATAATTTGCCTTGAAAACCAGGTAGATCTGACTCCAAATTTCTTGTTTATTTTTATCGCACTGTTGTGACTTTGAGCAAGTCACATATTCTCTTTGAGCTTCAGCTATCTTATGCATAAAATGGGCCTCAGAATACCTTCATAATGTGACTCTTGTAAGAGTCAAATGAGATAATGCGCATAAGAGCTGCTTAAAAAGCAGATATTTGACTAGTACAAACAATTTATATAAGGCTTTTGCAGGAGTATACTATTCCAATTCATTTATTTTCTCTGAGCTTTCTAGTGGTGCTGAAGTAAATGGCAGTCTGAGAGGTACTAAACCAAATGTGAATTCCATCATAGGCTTCCTCTTAAGAGTCTGGTACCAGTAGTTTGATAAACAGACTGATTTTTTTCTCCCTTGGAGAGTTCAGGTTTGTAAGTATGAATAGCTTAAAAGTAACAGACATGTGCATGATAGGAACATTTGTAAGGCTTTTTATCATGAAGACTGATGTGATATTTAAAATAGATTTTGTAGGGCTGGTGTTATGGCACCACAGTTTAAGCCACTGCTTATGATGTTGGCATCTTGTATTGGAGGGTGGGTTTGATTCCCAGTTATTCTGCTTCAGATGCAGCTGTCTGCTAATGTACTGGGAAGGAAGCAGAAGATGGTCCAAGTATGGGGGCCTCTGCACTCCATGTGGGAGACCAGACTGGAGTTCCTGGCTCCTGGCTTTAGCCTAGCCCAGACCTGGATTTTGAGTCCATTTGGGTAGTGAATCAGCAGATGGAAAATCTGTGTGTGTGTGTGTGTGTGTGTGCCCCCCTCTTTGTCACTCTGCCTAGCAAATCAATAAATCTTTTACAAAAAGATTTTGTCAAGTCAAGCAGCTTATTCGACTGGATCTATTTTAGTATCTAGTATGACCTAACTTCTGGTCTTCCTTGGTCCTAGAATCCCTTGTCAACCATGTTGGCACACCATTGTTGGATATAATGTTATGTATAGTGTTAGTGCTAGTTTATATTGATATCTCTGAGCTTTATTCTCCATGTTTTTGAAATATGGAGGTAAGAAGTACTTATCCAAATAATTTCTATATTTTTTCCAGACACGGGATCATGTCATGCTCTTACCTAAATCCCTCCAGAGTGTTCCTAGAATACTTAGAAAAAAAACTAAAAAAAGAAAGAAAGAAAGAAAATCTCCCATCATACACTTCATACTTCCACATACTCTGGCCCATACCTCCCTCTCTGATCTCATTGTGTACCACTCGCCTTCTCACTTACAGAACCTTAGTTGCACTAACCTTCTTTCTCTTCCTTGAACATGCCTAGCTCATTCTCACATGAGGATTCTGCATTTGCTGTAACCTCCCCCAAGAAGGAATCTCTTTTAGGATGCCCTCTGCTTCCTGATCAAGCTGCCAAATCCTCTGTATATTATCACTCTAATTAAATTCTTATGATAGCTTCATATTTAGAGTCCTCACTTATCTATATATGTATCTTATTTATTATTTGTTTCAGTAATTAAAATGTAAGGTCAATAAGGGAAACATTTTTGTCTGTTTTGCCATATCCATGGAGCCTACAGCCATGCCTACCACTTTGCAGGTATTGAAATAAGTAATTAATGAGTGAATGACTGCATAAAATATGATGCAAATGGGCAGAGACCATCTTCTGGCTAGCTTCCTTCCAGCTCTAGCTGCAGCTCAAAGTTAATACCACCTTTAGGTTTAGGGACCAACAAAGTACCTGAGGCAGAGCTATTATAGAGTTCCAGCCTTGCTCCTGTCTCTAACTTGCTGGTGATTTTCAGCTGATTCTTACCTCTAATAGGGATTCCAGGATCTTTATGGTTGCCCATCCCTCCTTTACAGATTCCCAGTAGCCCACATTTTCCTGGATGGAGGACACACTTCAGCGTTCTCATTTCTTCTCTCATCCCCATTCCTAAGACCTGATATCTGGTTCTTGATATTCAAAACAGACCTTGCTTTAATTGACAGATTTCCTAATGCTAAACAGCCCTCCCATGTATCTACATTCCTCATCTCCTTCTGGGATACCTCATTATCTCATGAAATCTTCCCCTGACCCTGACCCTGCTGAGCTGAATTCTTGCTGGAACTGTGACTTCTATCGTCCACTCTTTGAATCTCATGCTTTAAATGGAGCAGTCATAGTGAAGCCTGACTGACCTAAACTTGGTCCCCATCAGTTTCCAGGTTGGTTCCTAAGCTGTGGGGGGAAAATAAATATATTGACTAGTGTGTCTTACCTTGGAGAGCTCCTGTCCAGGACCACACTGTTGGCAGGTAACACACCGTCCCCATTGGTCCCAGTACTCATTTTCTTGGCAATCCATGGTGGGAAGGCTGTGAGTACAGAACACAAAAACTAGGCAGCTAGTTTCAATGGATACCTAGAAAGTAGTGGTTTCCATGACATTTGGCTTCTGGGTCATCTTAATCTAGTATCTCTGTGAGTTAGAGACCAAGGAAGTCAATCCAAAATAGCTAATGTTTACATAGCCTTGACCATATGCTAAGAACTTTTCTAAAATGCTTTACATATAATAACTCATATAATTCTCAAAACAACCATATCTGGGATTATTATTAGCTCCATTTTTCAGATAAAGAAAGTGAGATGCAAAGGTCAAGAAATTTGCCCAAATTCACACAACTGGTGGCTACAGCAGAAGCAGAACTTGTAGACAATGGTAAGTTGTTTGCTTCTGCCCATAAAGTATAGAATAACCACAATCACTCATGTATGATTTGCTCTTTATGGCTTAGAAGGCATTTTCACATTTATTATTTGGTCAACGTAACACCCCAGTGAATAAGCAGTATAGGGATTATCAGCATGCCTCTCTTTTGCAACAGGGGTTTTTAATATGTCTGAGAACTGCTAGCTGCCTCTGCTTCACTCCTAGGCAGAATGGGATGGAAGGATAACCTATCATGTAGAAATGTCCTGGGACATTAAGGTGTAAAAAAAGGGATGGCATAAGTCAAATTTCAAGGAATATGGATGGCATAGGACAGTAGCATTAGCATTGGACTGGGAATTGGACAATATGAATTCTAATTATGGTTAGCAATCATCCTGGTTTGCTCATGACAAAGATGTTTCCCAGGGCATGGAACTTTCAATGCTAAAACTGAGATAGTCTTGGGCAAACAGGGAATGGTTAGTCACCCTACCTGGTTCTTCCACTTTCAATTTATGATCTTGGATGAATGACTTAGTCTTTTCTGGCCTTAGTTACTTGATCTAAGAAAAAGGGGCCATATGTTCCTCATGTACCTAACATAGTTCTTAGGAGGATTAAATGAGGTGAGGTCCATCAAACTGTTCTGAAGGCTGTGGAGAACTAGACATGGGAAGCCAGGTAGTCTTCTGCAGAGAGGAACTTTAGTAAAGGAGGCTCAGGTAGTCATTACATGGGGAGTGTCCTGCTCAGAGAGAATGGTGGGATGAGATTCTTTTGCTCACTCCTGACCCCATATCAGGGCAAATTTTGGGTGCTTTCTCAAAGCAGTCAAAGTCCTAAAAGTATACTTGTAGTCAAGACAGGAGAGATGTATATATGTACAATTCAAGGCTACTATTTCTCCCCTCAGAAGTTCCCAAAAAAGATGGGGTAACTCATGCTGGGTGACATTCTTGTTTAAGTGAACATTTTTGCACCATCACCTGGGCCTTTCTTTTCCATTCATTCATTCCCAGCAAGTGAGCTACAATATCCATTTTTTTCCAGAAGATAAACATCTTTTCCTGTGTTATTTTGATAACTGTCCCTGGTGTCAGTCTCAGTAAGCAAATTCTCCATGCCTTGCTATCTATCTTTGTCATGAAGACAAAAACATTAGTAGTCTCATAGCTTTCATGACAACGGACCATAGAAACAGGACCAGCATACTAGCCTGGACAAATCTCCCATAACAGGAAAACATTGGTAGTAACCAAAGGCAGCCCATCCCTTGGGATAAACTCCTGACACAGGCATCTGAAATCTCCATGGCAGCTACTACTGGCCTTTAAGTGTGAGAAACCCCGTTATGTTTGGTTTGCAGAGCCACACCCACCTAATAAAGCTCATATGGCATTACCACTAACACGTTCCTTTGTCTAGACAACACAGGCTTATGGCCAAAGTTCTGTATCAGGACCTTGGCAATGAACAGAAAGCTTCTTTTCTCCTCTTTTTAGTCAAGCCATTTATCCAAAATATATCAAAATGAGAAATTTCACAAATTGCCTTTATCAAAGAGAATAAAATCACATAGACTCTAGACTATTCTGAGGAATTCAAGGTAAAGCATACGTATAAAACTGCTTCATAAGGGTTAAATATTAAATGGCATTATCTAGGGACACAGGTAGACCTTACATCAAATTTTCCCCTATAGTTAGCCTTGTCTTGTAGAAGATGCAACAGCCTTCTTATTTTAAGAGGTGGCAAGACAGGAAAACTAGGCTTTAATAAAATCCATGCTTTTCTGAGGTATACCATTAAGTACACCTAGGAACTCTTCGAAGGTATCACAGAGAATGTGGCTGAATCCTCCAAAATGGCAACGTGAACAGAGGTATAAAATTCCCGGAATTAGAGATCACGCATGCCCAGTGCTAACCCTGTACCTAACACAGAGTGGATACCTCAACGGTGCTTGCCAGGGTGAGGAACATCTGACCACGGGCCATACAAGGCCTGTGAAATTATTTGGTCTGGCCCTGCCAAAGCAACCACAGGATGGGACACAAAGTTAAAAAAACCTATAGCAGGCTAATTTCTAAGTTGATCATTTTGTATGGTCTGTGAATGGTGTTATAAATATCCAAATGGCCCTTGCCAGAAAAGTTTCCCAATCTATTAGTTTGTCAGCATGCTATGTTGCCTAATCTATGGTTAACTGTGCATGTGTCTAGCCACCGGGCTTATGAAATCTCTTTCATAATGACTTTCCAAACAAGGTAATATCCCCACATCAAGGAACAGCAAAGGTTTTAGAGACACACAGACTCACGATAAGTCAGACACAAAAAGACAAAAATCATGTTTTCTTTGCTCTGTGGTAGCTAATACATAGAGTACAAAAAATTCAATATATATGAGTGAAATTGACATTTTGAGATTTCATTATTGTTTTAGACCTGTCCATACTAGTGTGAAACAGTGGTCTTTCTATTTTCTACTTGTTGAATTCTTTATTGAGTATAGGATTAAGCCTGTGACTATAAAGTGAATTGAAAGTATGTTATCAGGGCTGGTGCTGTGGCGTACCGGGTAGAGCTGCAGTGCGGGCATTCCATATGGGCACAGGTTCGAGTCCCGGCTGCTCCGATTCTGATCCAGCTCTCTGCTATGGCCTGGGAAAGCAGTAGAAAATGGCCCAAGTCCTTGGGCCCCTGCACCCGTGTGGGAGACCCGGAAGAAGCTCCTGGCTCCTGGCTTTGCATCAGCTCAGCTCTGGCTGTTGCGGTCATTTGGGGAGTGAACCAGCGGAATGGAAGACCTCTCTCTCTCTCTGGCTCTACCTCTCTCTGTAACTCCGTCTTTCAAAAAAAATAAAAAAAAAGAAGAAAGTTTGTTATCACAAAAATTAAAAGAAAGAAAGGTGGAGGAAGGGAGAGAGGATGACAGGCAGGGTGTGAAGTATCATTATGGGTTTAAAATTGTATATATGAAATACATAAAATCTGTTCTCTATGTAAATAGAAAAATATATGAAACGCAAAAAAATCCAACTCTAACTAGTTGTGTGCTCATAAAAAATACTTTCACCTTTCTCAGTATCAATTTTCTCATCTACAAAATATAGATTTTATTTATTTATATTTATTTGAGAGGTAATGAGACACAGAGGTAGAGACAGAGTTTCCACCCACTGGTTCACTCTCCCAAATGACCACAATGGCTATGGCTAGAGGTAGGCTGGGGCTGAAGTCAGGAGCTGGGAATGCAATACAGGTCTCCCATATAGGTGACAGAAACCTAACTACTAGAGTCATCACCACTGGCCCCCAGGGTCTATATTAGCAGGAAGCTGGAGTCAGTAACCAGAACTGAGAATAGAGCCAGGTACTCCAATGTAGAATACATGGGTCTTAAATGACATCTTAACAGCTAGGCTAAATACCCACTCTTAAAATAGGGATTTAGGGACAGGTACTGTGGCGTGCCACCTGCAGTATCAGCATCTGGTATGAGCTCTGGTTTGAGTCCCAGCTGCTTTACTTCTGATCCAGTTCTCTGCTGTGGCCTGGGAAGGCAGCAGAAGATGGCCCAAGTCCTTGGGCCCCTGCAGCCACGTGGGAGACCTGGAAGAAGCTCCTGGCTCCTGGCTTCAGATCGGCTCAGTTCCAGCCATTGTGGCCAATTGGGGAGTGAACCAGCAGATGGAAGACCTCTCTCTCTCTCTCTGTCTCTGCCTCTCCTTCTCTCTCTGCATAACTCCAACTTTCAAATAAATAAATAAATCTTTAAAAAATAAATAAAAATAAAATAGGGACTTAAATAATACCTACCATGAGCATTTTTATAGATTTCATTTATTCCTTTTATTATTTTATTTTTAAAAGATTGATTTATTTATATGAAAGGCAGAGTTACAGAGAGGCAAAGGCAGAGAGAGAGAGAGAGATCTTTCACCCAGTGCTTCACTCCCCAAATGGACACAACATTCAGTGCTGTGCCGATTCAAAACCAGGAGCCAGAAGCCTCCTCTAGGTCTCCCACATGGGTGTAGGGACCCAAAGACTTGGGCCATCTTCTACTGCCTTCCCAGACCATAGAGAACAGGACTGGAAGTGGAGCAGCTGGGACTCAAACCAGTGCCCGTGTGGGCACTGCAGGCAGCGACTTTACCTGCTACGCCACAGCGTCGGCCCCGTGGATCACAACACTAAACAGCTATAACTTTAAAATTTTTACCAAAGCTTTTTTAATAATACATAAGAATTCTATAGTTTTATTTCTTTTCTTATAAGAAAATAGAGGTATAAAACTTGTGATCTTGGATTTAGCAACAGTTTCTTAGATGCTAAAGTACAAGTAACAAAAAAATGGACAAACTGCACTTAAATACAGAGCTTAGAAAATAAAAAACTTGTGCTTCAAAGAACACTACTAACAAAATGAAATGACAATCCACATAATTGATAGACAAACATTTGAAGATCATACATCTCATAAGACTTGTACCTAGAATATATAGAGATCTCTTAGTAACTCAAAATAAAAATCATAAATAACCCAATTTGAAAATGGGTCAAGTATTTGAAAACACTAGGACTATTATTTAATTCATTCAAATCTAAAACTCAATTATCAATAAACTTAGGAATAGGTTTCCCATTACAAACAGGAACAGTAACAGCTGGCTTTCCAACAAGATATACAAATGGCCAATAAGCACATTAAAACATGCTCAGTATCACTGGTGATAAGAAGAATGCAAATCAAAACTATAATGAAATATCACTTTTGACCAACTAGTGTGATTATAATAAAAAAAACATACTCAAGTATTGAGGAGGCTGTGGAATAACTGGAACATTCATATGCTGTTAATGGGAATGTAAAATGGCACACAGTCCTTTTGGAAAATGGTTTTGTGGCTCTCAAAATGTTAAACATATAATTACCATGTGACCCAGCAATTTTACTCCTTGGTATATACTCAAGAGAAATGGAAATATATGCCCACACCAAAATTTGTACATGAATGTCCTTATTCATAATAGCCAAAAGTGGACAAAAGTGACCATCAACTATGTGTGTAGATAACCAAGATGTGGCCTACACATACAGCTAGAAAAATGAATGAAGTATTTATTACATGCTGTAATATGGATGAAACTTGAAAACATTATACTAAGTAAGAGAAGCCAGAGATAAAAAGGCAAACATTGTATGATTCCAGGATAACAATAATTCTAGAATAGGCAGTCCATAGAATCAAAAATCAGATTCACTGGTTACCTGGAGCTAGGGGGGAGGGAAGAGGCATGACTGCATAAATGAATATGAATTTTGGAGGGAGCTAATGTAAATGGTTTAGACTTAGATAGTGGTCAAGGTTGTCCAACTTTGTGAATATACCAAAAACCAGTGAACTGTACACTAGCAAAAAGTGAATTATGTGGTATTTGTATTGTGTTTTATTAAGAAGATGATTCTTCAACTTTCTCATTAATACAGTAAACTACCCTACATTTTTAATACATGTTACCTAAATTAATTTCAAAATACTATTTTTCAGAGCTCCTAAGGATTTTATTATATGTGCCTCCAAGTGTGATTTTTTTTTAACCTAACTTTGCACTCAAATATATCCAGTTAGTTCTGTATGTATTTTGATTGGGCTTAACTAGAGGGAGTGACAAGTGGCAAAATACTACTGTCTCTTTATTAAGTCTTTGTTATGTGGCTGCTTTCCCTGTCATGATTTCCAAAAAACAACCTAGAAGAGTAAGAATGCTCTTCCCAAACAGGGAAGAGGAGAAGCCATGAGGCATGAGGCTGACATTAATAATAATCCCCACATTACCTCATTGTGCCCTGAATAATTGATGTTGGCCAAGTTTCTGCTGGATGTGAGGTACTCAGGCTGCTGGGGGTGCAGCTGCCTCTGGCCACAGCTTGCGACTGCTGTTCTTCTCAACTTGCACACATGCCTGTGGGGTGAAGCATGCTCTCTCTATCTAGGACGGGTAGGCAAGACAGGATGACAGTTCTATATTAAGAACTAAGGCCTTCAGGATATTTGCTTTGCATGGACAGTGCAGGAGGTCTGGGATTAAAAAGGGTGAGGAAGGCGACAACTGGTCCATGCCCTGCCCATTACTCAACTATGAGCCCACCCACCCACGTGCACACAACTGGCAAAAACCAATGTAGTTGCTCATCACAGACTTGAGAAAACGTCTGTCTTTGAAAATCATGCACATTATTTGTATAGTGCCCTCATCATTTCCAGATGTTTGGCTGATAATCCACATGTTGCTTCACCATTTGGTGCTGGCTCTCAACCTTTCCTTTCCTGGTCTGGCCCAAGGCTGCTCCTATACCCAGCTTTCTGTTGACCATAGCCGCTTCCAAAGTATGAAACATGTTAGTTTCCACCTTTTCGGCTACTTGTGAATTTTATATTTCTGGTTTTAGCTCAATACAGTGAGTGGTCTCAGGTCCAGCTGTGCCATTGGTGCTCTATTCAAGGTCCCATTTCTGCCATGAGGTCCATCTCTTAGACTGGCAGTTTTCAGGCTATGCTGCACCTTGAAAGCTCCAAAAATACTGATACATGTTGAGTACCACCCCTGAGATCCTGACGCATTTAGTCAGCCATGTGGCCTGAGCATCTGGAATTCATGCAGTGCACCAGCTGATTTTCATGTACAACCCACGATAAAAATATCACCATTCTAAGGGTTCTTTCGGTTCTGACCTTGTCTGTCTTGTCTGAATATATGGTGTGGTCAGGCAAAGGGTTTTGTCCCCCATATTCAGAGGGAATCTGGTAAAGGACTAACCTAGAGTCTACCCGTTTATTTTTTTTCTATGAAGAATAGAAAGTAAAAGGACTGAACTTATAGTGGTTCCTTTAAGAAATGTTAGATCATGTCACTTCCAACCCCAAGCTCCATTGATGGCTCCCTATTTCACTCATAATAAAAGGAAAAATCTTCTGATGGTTGATGACACCTAGATGATCTGCTTACCTCATGAGCTCTTTCACTCTAAGCTCAACTATTCTTCCCCTTACTCTCTTCATTCCACTCATGCTGGTCTCTTTGCTGTTTTTCAAACTAACCACGAATGCTCTCACCTTAAGGCCTTCATATCTGCTCAAGTCAGCAATGTTCTTCCCCAAGATATTCACATGGCTATCCCCCTCATATTCTTCAGTTCTTTGTTCTTATACCATCTTCTTAGTAAGGCTTCTCCTTTAAAAAAGTAGGAATACTTTTTATAAAATTGCAACTTCCCACCCTATTTCCTTTTCCCCCTTTCTTGTATTATTCATTTCCATAGCACTTATGATCTGACATGTCTGTTCTTTTTCCAACTAAAATTTAGACACCATGAAATCGTGGTGCCTGCTATGTTCACTTCATATGAGCTTAGTGTTTAGAACAGTACCCGACACAAATTGGGCACAAAATTAATATTTGCTGGATAAACAAATAGTAAAACAGTTACAAAGTAATTATAACAATCTCTAGCCTGAACAATAACTCCAGAAAGAAGTTATGGATTGTCGTCAGCAATTAGCAGATTTTTTAAAAGCTGCAGCACAGAGAAGAAGGCTTCCTCTAAGTTTACTTACTTAGTAAGAAACAAAACCAGAACTCAAAGGTAAGTTAGGGCCCATGGTCCAGCATGGTTTTCAAGGCAGTATTGACCTCTAAAATATGGAATGCAGGTCCCTTCAGCCTTCACTAAAATTTTATTTCGCTTCAATAATATTCAAGGTGTGCAAAAGCATCATCTGAAATTAATCTATTTTTAAAATAACAGTTTGATAGAATTACTGCCTTGGCCTTAGGAGATAAGGGTCAGGACAATGGGGGTAGCCATAGGAAAGGGGAAGAAAGATATGAGTCACAGAAAATTCTAGAGTTACTGCCTGGGAAACCAGGAGAATCTCAGGACCATGAAATGTGTGAAATGGGAGTTGCTTGGCAGACAAAAGACAATGCATGATTTTGCAACTATGTTAATTATGTAGAGTTGGAGAGGACAGAGGATTATTTCAGTGGTTGTGTCCAGTAGGTAATTAAAATATCTATAACACAGGTTGCAGTTAAAGATGAGTTAAATGCATAAAAAGGCCAGAACAGCAGCTTTCAAGTGGGTTAAGCCACCACTTGAGATGCCAGTATCCCGTACAGGAGCCCTGGTTCCAGATCCAGCTGCTGCTCCACTTCTAATCCAGCTTCCTCAAATGCTCCTGGGAAAGCTGTGGAAGATGGCCCAAGTACTTGGGTCCCTGCCACCCAAATGGGAGATCAGGATGGAGTTCCAGGCTTTGACCTTACCCAGACCTGGGTGTTATAGCCATTTGGGAAAGAACTAGAGGGTGGACGATCTCTCTCTCTCTCTCCCCCCCCCCCTTGCTTTTCAAATCAATCAATCAATCAATCAATCGTTTTTGAAAAAAAGAACAGCAGCTCTTGTTCATGACTACACATTAGAATCATTTGTAAGACTTCTGAGAAAACACCTATGCCCTAGGCTAATCAAATCAAAACTTCTTGGGAGCTGAGAACTACTCGCCCTGGTAAATAATGTCAGAAGCTTGGATGAGTAGGGAATGGTGCTGTGGTGCAGCGGGTTAAAGCCCCAGCCTGTAACACCGGCATCCCATGAGTGCCAGTTTGAGTCCCGGCTGCTCCACTTTCAATCCAGATCTGCTATGGCCTGGGAAAGCAGAGGAGGATGGCCCAAGTGCTTGGGCTCCTGCACCCAAGTGGGAGATCAGGAAGAAGGTCTTGGCTCCTGGCTCCTGGCTTCAGCCATTGTGGCAATTTGGGGAGTCTACCTCTCTCTGTAACTCTGCCTTTCAAATAAATAAAATAAATATTAAAAAAAAAAGAAATTCACTTTAAAAAAAAAGAATGCAAAGAACAGCACATTGAAAGACACCCATATTTTAAGCTGGAAGAAGAAGAATAGAGAGCGGCAACCTAGAAAGAAAAGCTAGGAAAGAAAGAATAGAAACTGGATAGGATAATATAGGACAACATTTCAAGAAGGGGTGTCTGCTATTGGTACAGGGAGAGAGGAGGGCCAGGACTGGTGAAGTATTATTTTATTTCATGGGTGTGTGATAAAAACTAAATTGTTCAAAAATGTTTGAATATGACCAAATATGTCCAAAATGTTCAAGTATGTTCAAATATGTGCCTGGAATAGAAATAACTCAGAGACCACAGGTGGTTACCACACTTTTAACAGGCTTCTCTTGCCATTTACAAAGTGGCTGAAGAACTCAACTGTTAGTGATAGCAACATCTGGTCCACCAATGTCAGCATGAGCACCTCAAAAAAAGAGAATGAAGGAAGCTGTGGAAAATGAAAGAAACCCCATCTATTTATTTTGTTCTTCATTTCTGTGCATAAAGCATGATTAAATGCCCCAGCAGGGGTAGAAAAATAAGGAAAAAATCACATTAAACCCATTGTCACTATACAGATAAAATTAATAACCAAATGAACTGGGTTATTTCCACTCAGCCAAAAGCAAACACCAACCATATGAGTCAAATTCTTTCTCCTTCAAAACATGTGTGTGCATGGACACATAGAACAATAAAAGCACAAACCTCAAAATACAAACACAGCTTAACAGACTGTAAACCGAGCAGAAGAAAAAGCTAAAAATTGTAAATATTTGGTTAGTGTCTGGCAACTACTAAGAAACAATTGTGAAAGGGAGGGAGGGGGGGAGGAACTCTGTAGCCAAGAATACAGAGATATCATTAATAAAATAAATAGGATGAAATTAAGAACAGCAAACTTTGGGCTGATTACGAGGGGAAAATAACCTTTTAATGATTGCTGAAACAATCTTCCCAAGTGGGAGCAAAGACACAGAAACTTCCTTGGATGATGTTCAAGGGAAAAATGAGATAATATATGTGAGAGTGCTCTGGAAACTCCAGATCCTGCTACACATTTGAGGGATTGCTGTGATTGTTACTATCCCACCCACAGCTGAGGAGCAAAGGGCACTGGAGACAAGCCACAGGCCAGCCACCCAAGCCCTCTGGTTTGCTCTGCTGTCTCCCTAGCCAAAGTGAATCACTTGCTCATGTACAGACCACCACAAGATGTCATGAAATTATGGCATCATCGAAACATAGTTACCCCACCAGCAAGTACTGGGAGTGGAGATTCCTTGACTTCTCAAGGAGGCTTTTGGCTGAATTGCCCCAGCTGGGAATTGAATTCACGGTATGACTTCTTTTCAGGGCTAGGAACTGGATAAAACTCCATCGAGTGTTCTGATTTCTATTAATTTGTTTGGTCTTGCCTATAGTTTTTCCATCCTGTCCTGTTTATGAAGTAATTTGGAATAGCTATATCTCTCTGAAGATGTCAATAAGAACAATCTCCCTTTTCCCATAGCAATCCAAATTCTATGAAGTACTTCATCCCTTCCTCCTATGCCAAGGAATGAACTATTCTAAAAGAGTAGGGATACAAACTAATGGGCATTTGCTAGCAAAACCTACAGCCATATCCTTACAATAGGACTGGGAGAAGTAGCCCAGGGAATGAGGCCTATTTGTCCAGGATGAGACATTACTGCCAAAATATTTCTTGCCTTTTTTAGAGTGCACGTGGAAAGGAAACAAAGATATAGAACTTGGTAAGGGTTGTAGAGAGAAGGTGAAACTGACTAACAAGCTGCCTATGATCTTACATATAAATGCACATTAAAGTCATCTTAGTCCCAGCTGCTTGTTGCCTAGTAAAGATATACTGTCCGGATCTGCTTGAATCCTTTTTGTAATAGGCACCTTAGTACTCACAAGACAGCACATTACATTATTGTTTATTTTTTCTCCTCTTTGGAAACTGGTAAAACTTCAAACACCTAAAGAATTGGATATCTATAGTCATAAAATCACAAAAGTATTCTTCATAATTACTGAACACCTCCCCCTCCGATGATCTAGATGGGGAAAATGAAGATCAAAAAAGGGATAGAGTTTTCTTAAAGTCACATAGTTGGTCAGTAGCAGAGCTGGGACTGGAATCCAAGTCTCCATATTCCAGGGCTTGCGGCTTCTCTATTTCCCATATTTAAAGAGAGGAGTGGGCTGAGCTATAAGACTGATGAGTCAATGACTATGCTACCAAGGCTCCAACGTCTTTTTTCCCTCACACCCACAGTCCAATACTGGCTCATTTTACCCTGAAGAGGAACAATTCCAAAGGTTGGGCTGGGTCAGGGAGGGATGCCTCATGGAAGGGAAGAAGTGCTGCCCACTCTTTTTGGCTTATCCACCATGATGACTCACAGCCTCCTGAAGTAACGGCATCTTACTGTTTATTACACCACATATTACATGACAGCTCCTTTATTTTTGAGAATCGTGTGATGTCTTTGGGGTACTGGGAGATATCATAACTGTAGTCAACCCAGGTGAGAAAGATGGGATTTTGGTTCCTCAAAACTCACTTGATTAATACCTTCCATGCTAAGCATTATATTACGGCAAAGTAGCAGGAAGGCAATCCAAAGTGGAAAAAAGCTGTTCTCCACCTTTAAGAGGTCATAGTCTTGTGTCAAATGCAGAAAAGAGACGGTTAATTATATTCCAAGACTGACTACAGCCATCCTGATATCTCCCACAAAGGCTGAAGAATAACAGGCTTATTTTATAGACAGATGGTGAAACTATCCTGAATTTTTCCTGCTAAGCTTCCAAGGGAAAAGTACATGGATGGTACCCATCTCCAATGCGAAAGCAGAAAAAAAAAACCAGCTTCTGCTTTAAAAATCAAGCTCTACTTCGGAGGCTCCAAAAGATGCCTCACTCCCTGCAGAAGACATTCAAGTGGAGCAGGTAGAAAAGACATCTAAAGGAGGGCTTTTTGGCCTACCAGATGGTACTTGGAAAAAAGTATTATTTATTCCTCTCCTGAAACTAGGGGCTTGGTCTCCCTCAAGAGCTTCCTTATTGAAATGTTTCAAAGATTTGACTAACTAGTGTAAGGCAACCAGGGGATGGATCTTTCTCTTGTCTCTTCCTCCAGTGTCAGTCTAATTGCTCAGCCATCACCTTAAAACCAAACAGCTGTGGAAAATGAAAAACTACAGTAAATCTGGAGTAAGAGAAATCTGGCTTTCAGTTCTGGCTCAGAAACTTACTAATTAAATGATCTCTGGCACGTTTCATCTTCTCTGGGGCTGTTTGGCCACCTGTACAAATTAAGACAAAAAGATCTGCACGTTTCCTAGTTGGCATGAGGAGTCAGTGGGATGATGGGTTTGAAAATACTTGGCACCTGGTGGGCAAAATGATACAAGATAAATTATAAGCAAAGAGTTCACATTCACCCATCCTGTTCCTCTGGCAGTGTCACCCACTGCTATGAAGTTGCCACCATCACCTGACATTATATAGTTTCAAAACTTCAGAGTTGTATTGAATTTGACAGCATGTCATGTTGGAAATGGAAGTAACCGGGTTGTTTGACCTGGGAACAAAAGGTATAGGGAGTTCTGGTCTCTGGTCGTAAGAACTCTGAAGAAATACTATGGAAGTCAGAGTAGACTGCTCTGGGTGGCCCCAGGAAAATGACAAGGACATCTGAGTGCAAGCCATTAAATTAAGTTTAGTGAAAGGAAAAGCTTTTAAACTGTAAAGGTTTTCCCTGAAGGGAATGGGCTGTCTCAGAGCAGTAAGTAGAACTAGAAGTGTTCAGGCAGACCAGCAAGGATGCCTTAAGGTAAAATCAATTGGGGTAAAAGACAAACATGATTCATGAAAGCCTACTATGTGTCAGGCACTGTGCTAGATCCTTTACAGGGTTTATTTCTTTTAATTCTTCCAAGAACACAAGAACACTATGATGTACTATTCTCCCTATTTTTCAGGATAGAAAACTGAAGCCCAAAGAAATTCAGTATTTCTTATCAGACTTATTGCTGATACTATAGGTGAGCAGAAAGAATAATTCCATGTTGTTTAAACTGGTTGATACTAAATGCAGTAGCACCTCAATCTTCATTTCTAAATGCTGTATGAAAATACTGATCCTGGTTGGGAATACCAAATGCAGAATGTATTCAGGATTACAGACAGGTAAGTAGAAGACCAGGGACTTGAAGACAGCTATGTCTAATTCAGAAGATAAGTATCCTTTCTGTTGCATCATTTACAGAAGTGGGATGGGAATGCATAACCTTTTAAAGTCTAAGTCAACTCCAGGTGATTGTGATTTTCTCATTTACTTTCCCAATAAATTTACCGAGTTCTAACTTCTGCAGACTCAACTTGTGTAATGTTTTATTAAGTTAACTGCCCCCTTTATATTCCCACAGCCATGCCTCAGTTTCAGGGCCGTGTCCCCTCTCTGCATCTAGTTTATCCACTTTTGGTGTTTTCTTGTTCCAATCTGGCTGACTCACACTTACCAGATTATCCTTCCTAAAGCACAGAACTGACCTTTTCTTTAGTTCAGAAACTTCCAATAGCTTTCACTTTTCCCCAATCCAATCAAAACTGTTGAATCCAGAGTCTTCTGCGGTTTTACCACCAATCAACCAGGGCAACTTTAACTTCCCCTTTCTCCCTAATTGTACTCTAAAACCCAGCTCAGCTGGTGTTCTTTTCACATGCTTGAGGCTTCCCTGCCTTCAAGCAGTTGTTCCTGTTGTTTTCTATGCTTAAATTGCCTTCTCTTCCCATCTCCACCTGTTGAAATCTTAGCTGTGCTCCTTGGTCTATCTTAAATAATAATAGTTAACATTTATTGGGTGCTTATTTTGGGTCAGCCCCTGTGCTAAGCATGTGCAAATATTTCACATGGATTATCTCATTTAATCCTCACAACAACCCGATGAGGTAGGTGCTATTATTATCTCCACTTTAGCTGTGAGTTAAATGAAGCTCAGCAAGAAGGAAGTAATTCTGTTTGTCCAAGGTCATACAAATTAATAATAGGCTCTGAACTCAAGTAGTCTGGCTTTGGAGCCTTGGTGTTATAATTTCAAAAGACAAACAAAAAAACTTTTCTGATTTTTCTCTTGCTCAACTTGATATAATTTTTATTTGACAACCTTGGAGCATTTTTATTGCACCTATAAAACCTATTTTGTATATCTATCTGCATTCCTATATACCCACGACGAGACAGTCTCCCTCCAAAGGGCACAGCCTGTGTTTTAGGTATCTCACTGTTTCACACATGATGGCAAAAAGTAGGTGCTCACTGAGTCTGTTAAGTTTAATTGAAGGCATGTGGGAGTGAAGAAGTTATCAAGGGGAGATGCTCCACACTTTCCTGTCCCAGCCACCCTGCATGACATTGGCCTACGCTGTTAACACCTGTCCAAAATCAGACCCTGCAGCCTGTTTTCCCAGCCAGGTCTCTGGCGGGTCTCTTCTTGTCCCCCAGTTCTCACAGCTGCCTGGGCCTTGGCCAGTGTTTGGGTGAGGCAGGATCAAAATATCACTGCCCCGGGCTCAGCTTCCAGGAGTGAGGGATCAAGTGAAACCCAGCCCGGCGGGTGAGGGGGTGGACTGAAAGCCCCCATAGAGAGCCAGCCAGCAGGCTCTTTATACAAGCCCTGACTTGCCCAAGAGCCACGTGGGTGGGCCAGCAGTTCAGCTTCCCTCGGGATGCTCCACATGTCTGACCCACCCCCAACTTCCCTCTCCTAACTCTCAGGCTCCTTCTCCTTATCTCCCAACACCAGATGCTCAAGGTAGTTGGACAGGTCCGGGCATGTTCCCAGATGCCGCCCAGTCCAGTAAGAGCCTGTACAGGCAGGAACTAAACTTGCCGTGGCACTGAGAATATTAGCCTAGGTTCCTGGCACCTCAGACAGTGCTCTCTGGACACAAATTTACAGACAGACGGATGGCCACGGGGCACCTTCCCAGCCTGACTTTCTAACTAGTAGGAACATCCTGACCATTCTGTGCACCCACACCTAGGTGCCATAGATCTCAGCTTCCTTGTCACGCTAAGCAGTATTCTCAGACGTGCCCCGTACTGGCTGGCTGGGTGGATCTTGCCACAACTAAATTCCGGAACAAAAGCACCTCAGCTCAGACCAGACATCCCACCCAGGTTTCACCCCTCAGCCCCCCACCCCCAGCCTGCATACCATACTCACAATAGATGAAATCCCGTTGCGATCAGAACTCCGTTTGACTCATTTCACATCCATCCACGTGTAGCAACGGCAGCCCCCAAACCAGCCCTCTATTCCTTTCATGCTACGCCTACTTTCTCCGCCCCGGTGAGACTCCGAGAGCAGCTATTGGTCTACTCAGTGTATCTAGGCGTGGCTATGCAAAGAAATCCTGCCCCTGAGAGGGACACTGTGAGTCTGGGGGGTTAACAGCGATCAAGCCACTGGTAAGGCAGGAGCTGTAATGCTCTGGGGACTGAAGCGGGGGCGAGAGGGCAGAGGGCCAGGGAATTGAGTCCAGCCCAGTCTGTGGGAACAGAAGGAGTGTCAAGTGGTTGGAGGCGCTCTGCAGATTTCATTTCTTGTGACTCGTTCACAGTTGAATGCAGCTCAGCTCATCCAAATTTTGTGCATGAGTTAGCAGAGTTGTAGTTTGACAGAGAAAAAAATTAATGTTGGAAAGGTAAGGAATTTCAAACACATAGAAAAGCCACTTCCCAGCTCTGGCTCTGTTTTTGTTATTGCTGTTTGTTTTTGTTTTGTTCTGTTTTATAACCCTCCAATTAGCAGGGAGGTGGGATTTTGATGAAGGAGGGGAGACATTAAGTAGGGGAAAGGCCACTAAAAAATGAAGGAAAACTGGATTCTGGACCTAGGACTCTGGGGCCCTGGATCTTTGTCTATACAAGGAGGAGGTTAAACTACATTGTCTTTAAGGGCCCTCCCAGCAATGCCATTTTGGGAGTTTGTGAACCTATGATCTCAGAGGCAGCAGTGGGGAAGTCCTGAAATGTTACTAGTCCCTGACCTTGAAGAACTTGCAGAGAAGTTAGGAGATAATAGCACCCAGAATAGGATGAAGGACAAAACTATGGAGTACAGGCTAGAAGGGCAGTTGGGGGTGGGGGCAGAAAGAAAGAATAATAGAATATATGGCCGTGCAAGGCAAACGATCTTCAGTGGATTGCAAGGGCTCAAAAGAGGTGGAGAAGCAAATAGCATGGCTACAGGGAAAGGAAAGCTTGAACCAAGGTAGAGGGTGGGGAACAAGCAATATGCCGTTAGACTTTAAGGGGTCTCAGTTGTGCTAGGCAGAGGCTGTATGGCAGAAGCTCATGTAGAGCATGAGTATGGCAGACTCTGTAGACTCTGCAATGACCTTTAGTGGAAAAGGACTGAATAAGCCCTGAGATGACATTGAAACTATCCTAAATGAAGTCCATATCTGTCCCCTTGTTAGAGGTGAGACTAGAATGTGACCATTTAGACTGCTTACTGTGGGCTCAGGCACAGAAGGGAAACAGCTTGAGTTGGACTCCCAGGCCCGCCATTACTAACTGTGTGACCTTGGGCAAGTTACTTAAGCACTCTATAGCTCAGTATCCTCATTTATGAAATCGGAACAATAATAATTACTTCCTCACAGAATTTTTTGGAGGATTATATGAGACAATATACAAACAGTATTAAAATGTATAAGGGGCTTAGAATAATGTCTGGAACATAATAGGATACACGTGTTTATTAAATATAAATAATGAAATGCAAGGATGGCTCCAATTTAGGGCCCTCTGCTAGCTATAATATTAAAATGAAAATAGCTACCCTATGCAATTTTTAATTGTTATCTAAAGAAGCAGAGGAGGAAGCTTCTGCCTTTTCTCCATCCTGTGTTACCCACAGTGATTCTTGTGTAGTAGAAAGAACTCTGGGTAGAGATTAGGAGTCTTGGCAAAACTAATGCATGTGAAAAATAAGTTAAAGGGCTGGCACTGTGGCGCAGAAGGTTAAAGCCCTGGCCTGAAGCACCAGTATCCCATATGGGCGCCGGTTTAAGTCCTGACTGCTCCTTTTCCAATCCAGCTCTCTGCTATGGCCTGGGAAAGCAGTAGAAGATGGCCCAGGTCCTTGGGCCCCTGCACCCAAGTGGGAGAGCCGGAAGAAGCTCCTGGCTCCTGGCTTCGGATGGGTGCAGCTCCGGCCGTTGTGGCCGTCTGGGGAGTGAACAAGCGGATGGAAGACCTCTCTCTCTGTCTGCACTTCTCTCTGTAACTCTTTCAAATAAATAATTCTTAAAAAATAAAGAAAATCAAATGAAAAAAATTAAAAACAAAAAAAAGAAAAATAAGGTAAGTCTCTTTCTAGCTATAATGTGAAGAGGAAAGAGGTTGTTGAACTAGATGACCTGGAAACCATAGATCTACTCTTCTCACATGTTAATAAGCACACAAATCACCTAGACATCCAGTTAAAACAAACTGTGATTTATTAGTTATAGTGTGGGGCTGAGAATGTGAGAATGTGATTTTCTTTAAAAAAAAAAAGATTTTATTTATTTATTTGAGAGGCAGAATTACAGACAGAGAAGGAGGGACAAAGAAAGAGGTCTTCCATCCACTGGTTCACTACTCAAATGGCTGTAATGGCTAGAGCGGGGCCAGTCTGAAGCCAGGAGCCAGGAGCTTCTTCCAGGTCTTCCACATGGATGCAGGGCCCAAATACTTGGGCCATCTTCCACTGCTTTTTCAAGCCATTAGCACAGAGCTGGATCAGAAGAGGAGTAGCCAGGACATGAACCAGCTCCCATATGGGATGCCCATGCTGCAGGCAGAGGCGTAGTAGCCTGCTATATATGCCACAGTGCTGGCCCCGAGACTGATTTTCTGATTTTCTAACAACATTCCGAGGCTGATGCTGCTGGGCTACACACCATGCTTTTAATAGCAAGGGTCTAGAAGTTGGGCAGGAACAACATTTACTGAGCAACTGTAAATCATGTCAGTGTGCCCATTCATACCTGACAATTGTTCTTTGACACATGAAGAAGCTGCTTACACTCCGTGATGCTTCCTGGAAAGATGGAAGAAAACCTGAGATAAAGCTACCAGGGAAACTTCAGCATCCACAGGCTGTTACATGATTTTTTTGGAAAATGACTATATAAGAAGCATATGAGAGGCCGGCGCTGTGGCTCAATAGGCTAATCCTCCACCTTGCGGCGCCGGCACACTGGGTTCTAGTCCCGGTAGGGGCGCCAGATTCTGTCCCAGTTGCCCCTCTTCCAGGCCAGCTCTCTGCTATGGCCCGGGAGTGCAGTGGAGGATGGCCCAAGTGCTTGGGCCCTGCACCCCATGGGAGACCAGGAGAAGCACCTGGCTCCTGGCTTCGGATCAGCGCAGCGCACCGGCTGAGGCTGCCATTTGGGGGGTAAAGCAATGGAAGGAAGACCTTTCTCTGTCTCTCTCTCTCTCTCACTGTCTAACTCTGCCTGTCCAAAAAAAAAAAAAAAAGAGAGAAGCTACTGTCCTTCACTATAACTTTCTAGTAATACTGTAATAGTAGCTGAACCTCATTGGGCACTGCTGCAAATATTTTACATGAATTAATTAATTTCATTCTCTCAACAATTTATGAGGCAAAAAATATTGGAATCATCTTCAGTTCTCCTTTTCTGTTTTTTTCACACATGTACAGTAAATTTTAAAATACTCACAGATCATTAAAACTATGGTAGTAGTATATTATTCTTAGCAATTTGACAAAGATATAAAACAAAATATGACAATTATATTTGCAGCATACTGTTACACAAAGGCATATTTTTATTTTTTTTAAATTAGGCCTTTATTCTTCTCCCTTTCTGTAACTCTGACTTTCAAATAAATAAATAAATCTTTAAAAAATTTTAGGCATCACATATAAGGGAGAACATATGATATTTGTCCTTCTGTGTCTGGCTTACTTCACTCAACCCGATTGTCCTCTGGTTGTAACCATTTTGGTGCAAATTATAGAATGTCATTCTTATTCACAGCTGAATAATATTCTACACAGCCACTGTGCAAAAAAAAATATGGAAATTTCTTAAAAAAAAAAAAACTTGAAATAGACTTGCCATATGATCCCGCAATCCTACTACTGGGTATATACCCAAAGGACACGAGTACATTGTATCAAAGAGATACCTGCACCACCATGTTTATAGCTGCACTGTTTCAATAGGCCAGATATGGAAACACTCAAGTTGTCCATCATCAGATGAATGGATAAAGAAAATGTTAGACACACACACACAGAAAAGCCACACACAACTTTGCCTCACCTCTTCTTTGCACCTTGCATCCAGTTCATCAGCATATCTATCTTCATCTCTGAACGATATTCTGAATCCACCACTTCTCAGAACCTTCACAGCAACTACTCTGGTGCAAGCCACCATTACGTTTCTCCTAGGTTATTGCCATAGCCTTCAACAGACCTCCTTGTTTTTGTACTTATCCCACTCCTATAAATTTGCAGCATAGCATCTAGAGTGATCCTGTGAAAATGTAAATCAGTCTAGTTCAGCCCAAACCATTCCACTGTCTGGCTTCTTATTTAGAGAAAAAGTCAAAGTCCTCATCTACGATCTATAATAATCTACAATCTACCCCCACTCTACCCCCCACCTAAAAACCTGCCCGTATATCTCTGATCTCATTTACTACTCTCCTAAACCACCACATCCAACCGCATTGGCCTCCTTACTCTTTCTTCCAAAGTGTGTTGCAGACACTGGTCATTGAAATTCTGTTCCTTCAGCCTGTACAATTCTTCCCCCAGATATCTGCATGGCTCCTTCCCTTACCTCCTCCAGATCTCTGCTCAAGTGGCACCTTATCAAAGAAGAATTTCCAGAATACCATATATACCATATATAAGCTAATGGAGTGACAGGGCCTTTAGACTCCACTGGGTAGACGGACTTTGTTAAGCAGTAGCCCTAAGTATCAGGTACGATGTGGCAGTGTTAAGGGTTAAGATGCTCAGCTGTGCTTTCTATAGGCGCATCACTCTGGCCCCATGTACTTGGGCAGCAGAACTGTGGTGGACTCATTGTGGGAGAGGGTTCCCTAACTCCTCCTCTCATGATAGCCTAAGTTATTTTGTGGACCCAAACTGGAAATTCCCTGGTGAAGGGTTTATCTGACTACCCTTCACCACTGGAACCAGCTGAATCTGATAGTGGGATAGGAAGGAACAGTATATCCCTGCTAATTTCTGGGGCCCAAACAGGTTATTCCAGGGTCAAGTGGGAGATTTGGGGGCTCCCCATTGCTCTCCTCAGGGTTTTTTGGAGATTATCTAGGGTCACTCAGGGGGAATATTGACCTTGATTGTGTCTCAAAGAAATCTGAATACCCTCTAATTCTAGGGTT